TAGCCGTGATTTCTAACTGCTGGTATTTTCCAGTGACGTCCCGTGATGGCAGGGGAGGAGTGTGCATTAGCCGTCCTCTTCCAAGCGCTGCAAGGCCTCACACTTAAAGACTTTCAGGAGTTTAAGACAAAGTTATTGGAGGTTCACGTGGAAGGAGGATGGAATATCCCCAAGGATTCGCTGACAGAAGTCACCCACCCTTGGGCGCTTGTCAGCTGCATGGGAGAAAACTAAACACCGCTTCAGAGTCTGGGAGAGGTCCTGGAGGGTGAGTATTATGCGGAAATACTGGGCTTTTCAGCAGCCACGAGGGAAGAATATTTCCACAGGTATTTTGGGAACGACAATAAAGCCGACATGGCCTTCAGGTTTGCCAGAGGTAACAAGATCCTCTACAGCTTGTGTGTCATTCCCATCATGAGCTGGACTGTCTGTACCGTTCTTGAACAAGAGCTTTACAAGAAGAAAAACCTCGTTGAGTGCTCTAAAGCCACCACATGGATGAGCCTGTTTTACCTCTCCTGGTTAATGAAGTGCAGAGGCAGGGACAACCCACGGTATCTCCAGCAGCTCCTGCGCAAGATTTGCTCGTTGGCTGCTGATGGCATCTGGAAGCACAAGATCCTCTTTGAGGAGAAGGAAATCAAGGGCTGCAGCTTGGACCAGCCAGATCTTCTCCTTCTCTTCCTCAACGAGAGAATATCTCAAGGAAAGACGTAGACCATGGGAACGTCTACAGCTTCACTCACCTGCACCTCCAGGAGTTTTTTGTGGCAATATTTTATGTCCTGGAGGACGATGAGGAAATTGTCGGCAACTCGGGGGCTCCTGTGAAGGATGTAAGTATGTTTTTACAAAGCTACAGCGAGTCCAGGAAGGATTTGAACTTAACTGGTTGGTTCCTGTTTGGTCTGGTAAGCCAGAAATCGATAGAGCACACGGACAAAATCATATCATCGGGGGCAGAATTTCACCACCAGCCAGGGAACATATGCTGAGGTGGCTTCAGAGGAGGCAGAGAGGCATCTCCCATCCCGGCCATGGACACTTTCCACTTTTTGTTTGAGATGAATGAGAAAACTTTGTGCAAAACGTGTTGGGTCTTTTCACCGACATAGACTTGCAGGACATCAAGCTGACCCTGTACAACCAAATGGCTCTTTCCTTCTGCATCAGGCCGTGGAACGGGCTGAGCTGCATCATGCTCCAGGGATGCTCCTTCAACCATCAGGATCCCAGGTGAGAGCTGGCCACATCGTTGCCCCGGACGTACAGGCCCTCTCTGCTCTAGCCACCCCAAATTGCAAAGATTTCTCCTTCTCCACCCCAAGGTATGCTTTTAAAGGCATTTCAGCTCCTTCCACCCAAACACCAGCTTGTCCTTTCACTGTGGCTCAGTTCCTCAGTGAAGAATTTTGCTTACTCTTGGGGAGAATTTGTGGGAGAATAAGGATCACATGGGCTCTTCCATCTGCTGCATGTGGTGGGATTGATGAAAATGGAGCATCACAGCTCGATTTCTGCAATCTGAACAGGCCCCCCTGCGCGCGGATGTTGGTGTGGCTTCATATCCCTCTTCTTGGGTGCAAAGAGGGGACGCCTGGTGCCGAAATTTTAAGTGCACCTGCAGCTTTGCTTGAGAGCAGGATGGCTCCAGCAGTAACACTCCTGAATCTTTGCATCTCCAAAGCCATGGAGGTCCTACGCAAGGAGACCTTCCAGGACAGGCTCTGTTGGGGGGGGGGTGTGTCCCAGTATTAAAGCCAGTAACTCCTGGTGCGGGGTGAGGGCTGCCCATTCCCCCCACTGTTCTGTCTCCCTGCAGCTCCGGTGCCTTGGGAGCCAGAGAATGTCCCCATCCCCTTGCTGAGAAGCGTCAGGAAGAGCTGCACTCCCCCATCCGCCCGCTCTGACGGGCGCTGCGG